GGGGTGAGCAGTGCAGGGGGTATTTTGGGGCTGTTGGGGTTTGGGGAGACTGGGAGGGTATTTTGGGGGGCTGTGCATGGGGCGAAGGATCACAGACTCCTACAACCATAGTGTTTGCAGGGACTGTCAGTCAGCTATTAGGCCACCAGGCCGGATTTGTTGTCCAATGGCTCCTGCCTCAGCTCGAAACCCCCCAGCGAAGGTGTTTCCAGGACCTCCCAAGGCCTCGCCTCCATTATCCTGCTGCTCTGACCCTTCAGAAATGCTCCCCTAGAGTTAATCTCCACCTGCCGTGCTGAGTTCAGATCCATTGCCCCTCGTCTGCCCTCTGGGGCGAGAGAACAACTGGCCCCGGCTTTCCTCTGGCAGCCTTCCAAGGGTGTGAAGATGCTCTCACATCACCCCTTAATCTCCTCGTTTCCAAGCAAAATAGACCCAGATCCTGCAGCCTTTGCGGCTGTGGCTTGTGCCCAGCCCTCTGCCTGACTTTGGTGCTCGCTTCGGAATCCTCTCCAGTTTCTCCACATCCTGTCTAGGCCTTGGTGACCCAAACGACCCAGCTCTCCAGCTGAGGCCAAGCCAGTAGCAAGTAGAGTGGTGCTGTCACTTCCCATGATTTGCAGGAAACGCCTCCCTTAATGCAGCCTAAAGTTGTATGTGTTGGGGTGTTTTTGCAACAGCATAGCCTTGCTGACTCATGTGGCGGGTGTGATCCACCATGATTCCCAGATTGCTACTGCCAAGCCCCTTTTCCTCCAGTCTGTGCATTTGGTTTTTCTTCCCCTTACCTTTGACTCCATTAAATTTCCTTTTCTTGCCTATAGCCTAGTACTCCAGTTCAGTGAGATCCCTCTGAATTTTAACTCTGTTCTCCAAAGTGCTGGCAACCTGCCCATGCTTTCTACATCTATATGCAAGTAGTTGATAAAGATGTTAAACAGTGGACCGAGAACAGATCCATGTGGGACCTCCTTCCAATCTGACATCAGTCCATTAAACACAAACCAAGAGTAACTGTTTAACCAATTCAATATCTGCTCAATGGTAGTTATGCCAAGCCCATGTTTCTCCAATTTATCAGACTGTCAAAATCAGGGCTGTCAATTGCTGCTAACGCAAGCAATGAACACAACAAACTAACTAGATTGAAAAAGGCACAATTAATGGCAGTTTTAATCACACTGTTAAAAGATACCAGAATGCCAATTTACATTTATAATAAATATGTGGGTGACTTTAAGTTTTCAAATACAATGATTTCAATTACAACACAAAAAACAGTGTACAGCACTCACTACTTAGCAATATTTTTATTGCAAATATTTGGGCTATAAAAAGTTGAACAAAAGCAATATTTTTTTATTTCTCAGACAGTGCAGTAGGGCGATTTCTTTACTGTGCGCAAGTGCAACTTGCAAACCTTAAAAAAAAAAAATAAAGTTTACAGAATTGCACTCTGTCAAAGCAATGTAAAACTTCAGCATCTAGCGGGCCACTCAGTTCCCCCTTGTTCAGCCAATCACTGAGAGAAACAAGTGCATTTACCCTTCCAGGCAGTAATGCTGCCCACTTCCTATTTACAATGGTTCCTGAAAGTAAGAATGGGGATTTGATTACTGGTTAACAGAACAGTTCAATTAAAATAGCAAATGAGCACCACTCAATTTTTTAAACTAGCGATTAACTGATTTTTTTTCCCCATCATTTGACAGTCCCAGTCCAAACTAGGGATGTAATATAGTCGATTAACTGATGAGCAAAAGCTTAAAGGTTACTGCTATAGACCAGTGTTTCTCAACCAGTGGTATGAGTACACATAGAGGTACTCAAGAGAAGTCTGGGGGGGTACATCAACACAACTGAAATTTGGAGAACTGAAATTTTGTTTTACATTTGACACCAATTTATTATTTTTGTATTTTTTACACCCATAAATTTCATCGCTCACCCAGCTATGATTTGTTTAAACAACTTAATGTGTTGTAATGGCAGAAAAAGTTGTGTGTCTGAAAACTGTAGGTACTGGGGGTACTTAATTTTTTTTTTTTAAAGGGGGTACTTTATAAAAAAAAGTTGACACTGATATAGACTACATGCCTTTCCCTCTCCTCCCCAACCAGTACATTTTTAGCAGGCTGGCCAGCAGCCTGGCTCAGTTCTGGCTCATGCTGGCTGTGTCTACACTGGGCCACTTATTCCGGAAAATCAGCTGCTTTTCCGGAATAAGCTGCGAGCTGTCTACACTGGCCCTTGAATTTCCGGAAAAGCAATGATGCTCTACTGTACAAAATCAGCCGCTATTCCGGAAAAACTATTTTGCTCCCGCTCGGGCATAAGTCCTTATTCCGGAACACTGTTCCGGAAAAGGGCCAGTGTAGACAGCCCAGTAGTCTTTTCTGGAAAAAAGCCCCGATCACGAAAATGGCGATCGGGGCTCTTTTCCGGAAAAGCGCGTCTACATTGGCCACAGACGCTTTTCCGGAAAAAGGGCTTTTCCGAAAAAGCAGCCTGCCAATGTAGATGCTCCTTTTCCGGAAAAACTGAAAATGGAATAGTATTCCATTTTAAGCATTTCTGGAAATTCATGCCAGTGTAGACACAGCCGCTAGGTCTAGCACAGTTGCAGACTATGACCTAAATAACCCCAAAATTTTGATTTTTAATGCCACTTGCACACAATACTGAGTAAAAGATTTAAAGATTCTTCTTATGTATGTTGGAGCAGCGCCCGGCACCCCAGCCCCCCCCCCGGCCAGTGGCTCCTGCCACTCCACACTGCTGCCCGTTTATCAGAGGCAGCAGCACAGGGAGGCAAGCAGCTGGTTGGCAAGAAGAGCTGGTTTTTAAACTGTCTCCCCTCACGGACTAGCAGCCACCCCTGGGGAATATAGAATAGTCAACTAACCCATCGTTTCTCAAACTGTTGCTCGGGGTCAGGAGCAACTTAGAGGGGGGTCGTGGTATCAGAAAGTTTGAGAACCACTGGTCACTAACCGATTAGAATTCATGAAGTTACATCTCTATAAATAGTCAATTAGCTGACATTTAACATCCCTAATCCAAACCCTGGCTGAAGCTGTTATTAAAGCTAATGTTAAAATGACTTAATCTACAGGCTAAGGAAAGAGGTTCTGTATATCTGGCTAAAATGCTTAAATTATGCCAAAATACAAAGTTTTGATTTAAAAGTCATAACATACATAGAATCCAGAATCGGCTCTGTCCTGAGTTAAGGTTAATGCATTGACTGAGACCGTTAAGATCTTATAAGGCTACGTCTACACTGGTAGCTTCTTGCGCAAGAACTGTTTTGAGAGAGTTCTTACACAAAAAGTCTTCCACAAGCGCGCGTCTACACTGGCATGTGCTTTTGTGCAAGACTGTCTATGGCAGTGTGGATGCTCTCTTGCGCAAGAAAACTTTGATGGCCATTTTAGCCAGAGGGGTTTCTTGCGCAAGAAATTCATGTTGCCTGTCTACACTGCCTTCTTGCGAAAGAGAGCTTATTCCTCGTGGGGAGAGGAATAACTCTTCCGGAAGAAGCCCTGTTTTCCGACGCTAGACTGTAAATTTACTTGTGCAAGAACGCGCATGCAGTGTAGACACCTGGCAAGTTCTTGCACAAGAGCAGCTGTTCTTGCACAAGAAGCTGCCAGTGTAGACGTAGCCTTAGCGTCCATCTCTTTATGTGCATTCATAAAAAGTTCTCCTGGGAGTTGCTTTTGGGAAATGATTATCGTCCTGGATGCTGCTTTGGCTCGTGGTGCCTGGGACTTTTGGGTAGGTAGAGCCCCAGTAAGAGGCGGCCGTGTTAGTCTGTTTCAGCAGAAACAACCAGGAGTCCTGTGGCCCCGTAAAAATCAGCAAGCTTATTAGGGCACCCCTCTTCCCCCCCCACCCTGGGTTGCGATGCGGTCTGTGCTGGGCGGTGAATGATAATGGCAGAGTGAGGTGCACCTGCCCTTCCTCGGTGGGACTGGGATGTGCATCTCCCTTCCTCAGCCTTGCCCCCCTGCATCACCTAGCCCTGAACTGAGCCAACCCATAATATTCCTGTCTCTCTCCTCCTCCCCCCCCACACACTTGCCCCGCCTCCCCCATAATAAATCCATCAGGTCTCCTGGGAGAATCGTTCCTGCCCCAGATATGTGGGGGGGGGGGAATGGGCTGGAGAGGAGACCCTAGGGAGGGGCATGAAGCACCTCCTGCCCCAGTTGTTCCAGGACTGGGGGCCCCCCAAGGCTGACTGACAGGAGCTTATGCCCTAATAAAGGCCTTAGTCTGCAAGGGGCTGGGGGCTTTCCCCCATAGCGACAATCCCTCAGAGAAGCGGCTCCTCCGTGGTACTCCAGCTCCTGGTGGCCATGAAATGCCCCCCGCCCTGCTCACCCCCTCCAGGAAATCGCGCTGCTTAGAACCGGCCCAGCGAGGAGCCCACGGGGGCTCGGCCCAAATCTGTTCATGCTCGCAGAGTGACGCAGCCTCCCCTCTGCATCATGCTGGGTGGGCAGCTTTGTTCTGCCTGTGCCCTGCTCTGCCTGCCTGGGGGGTCCCTATGGACTGCTGCCCTGCAGTGGAGGGGGTTTGCAGCTGGCTCTGGGGGGAATCTCTGCTGGCTGCTGCTGCTCACCTGG